AAACCACAGTTTCGTTTAATTTACCCAGCAGTTTTGATAAAGCTCTTGTAGGCATATAATTAAGTATAATCTTAAATTCAACCAAGATCTCAAGTGAAAAATGACTTCTAGCAAGCAATCAACCACCATACCAGATGCAAGATAGGGAGTTGCATCTCAGAATCATCCACAATTCTTAATTTTGTTTTTTTGAGGACTCAGGGCTTCATGCCTTGCAAAGCAGGCACTCTACTGCTTGAGCCACCTCCAGTCAATTTTGCTCTGGTTATTTTTTGAAAAATGGGAAGTATTTTTCCTGGGCTGTGGCCTTGAACCATGATCATGCTGATTTCGGCCTCCAATGCTAAGATTAATACAGGCAGACCTACCTGTGCTGCTAAACAGTTTTCTGTTTAAACCTGTCAGATTGTCTCAGGATGGCCATCTTCAAATTGTTAATCCAAGAGAGGAAAGCCGAATGGCTTTTTCCTGCAGTAGCACCCCCTTTCTGTACTTACACTTTGGCCTATCAGAAAATAGTTTGTACCTTCAAAGCCTGTGTTTTTTCTGATGACAGCATGCCACATTACCACATAAATATATTGAAATCACTCATTGAATTCTTCCTATAGTGATCAATATTTTGATTGTTTCTACTTTGTGGCTATTACTAACAATGCTGGTAGCAAGATTCTTCATCCTGGTGTAAGTCCTTTATGAGTTTTTGTGACAACCTTATGGGAAGACCTTCGAGGGCATTGGGAATCTAGTAACTGTATCCCAAGGTGGTATAATAGTGGATATTGGAGAAGACTCTACTGGTTCTTCTGCATCTCTTCCTGAAGAAACTGCCTTAGAAACCTGGACTAGGGACCCTGGATTCTGTCCAGATGAGAAGGTCCTTCTTGTGCTATGAAGCTGTTCTTGGGGATGGTTTTCAAGTGCCCTCAGGGAGATGTTCCAACAGTTCCTGAGAGGCCTGGTTTAACCTGTTTGGTTTCCCTATATTTCAGATCAGTGCTGATTCTCCAACTGGCTTGCCATCACACAAAGGCGAGTTGGTGGTTTCATTGAAATACATCCCAACCTCCAAACTTCCTGTTGGAGGTGACCGGAAAAAGAGTAAGTTTTCTTTGGGCCCCTGAATTTAGCTCTTAGTCTTCTGCACAAGGATCTGCGTGAGGCTGGTGCTGGCACTGTTGGAGAGACCAGACTGGGATGCTCCCTGGATATTCCAGGGAAGATTGTTTACTAAGTAAGCATTTTCTGCATTTCTCAACCAGAAGAGAATGTGTGGAATTTGAAATTTTAAAAATTATTTAGGCTATTAAACTGACTTGGTCTTGGTCCAGCTGGGGCAAGCTACTAAGAGGACAAAAGAGAACAGAAACTTTGGGGCTGAGAAGGGTGGCTGGAAGGAGTGGTAGAGTAGTAGGGACAGCAAGTTGAAGGCTAAGGAAGAGTAATTCAACTTCCAGGTACTTTGCTAGTGAGTAGGATATGTAGATGAGGAAGATATATTTGTCCCCTGTTGAAGAGGTTACTTCAGCAAGAAAGATTAACCATGTGCTCAAAGGTCCAAATGTAGAAGTGATGAATTCTGATTACTTTGGGGAGAGCTTTGAAGAATAAGTAATGTGGAAACTAGATTTCAGATTTTTACCAGGCAGAAAAAGAGGGAGGCTGAGGAAAGAAGAGCATTTCCTTCTAGAAGAGGGGACAGGATGAGTACAGGTTTTAAAAAGACCAGCTTACATGGGGCTGTATGTGTGTAGGGGGAGTGAGCCCTTGTTTTAGTGGAGCTGGAGTTATAGTGTGTATTTGTATATGTAGGAGTGGGGCTGGAATTGGAGATGAGGCAGAAGCCCAACTGAAAAAGGCCTTGAATGTAAAGATTCTTCAGCAATGTGAAATCTAAGTTCTTAGAAATATACCTTCAGCAAGATCTAATCAAGAGTATTTGGAATCTCAATGAGGTCCCAAGGAGGGTGTGCAAAATTATAAGAGGCAAGGATAGAACCATAAGGAGTAGCCACATTTTAAAAGATGAAGAGAGGAAGAAATGCCAGTGAAGTAGGTTACCAGGAGAGAGAAATGCCAGGAGAGAACTTCAAGAAGGAGATGGGGGTTGTCAATAGCAGGAGATCAGGCCAGATGAGGATTGAGAAGACATGGCTCATTGGTATTTGATAGGATTGTATTTTCAGTGGATGAGTGGAAGCATAATCCAGATTTCATTAGAAACTAGGCTGAGTGAGTGAGGCCAAGAAGTAGAGGTGGTGAATATGGGCGTTTTCCCCAGGGTACTTGCTGGTGAAAAGACATAGAGAATAAATAGCTTGAAGAAGGGATAAGATTGAAGGGAGGCTTTCTTTTAAATGCATTAAAAGATTATATGAGATTAGCATATGTTTAGACTGAGGGGAGGGTATCCATGGAGAAAGAGATTAAAAGTGGCAGGTGAGGGTTGAAATTGATGTTGCCTGATGGGATCAGAAACTCAAGCAGTTTTTCAATCATTCAGTAAATATCAGGCATCTTTATTTCTCTAAGCTTCAATTGTCTCATCTATAAAATGAGGATGATGGTAGTGTTTATCTTATAGGCTTGTTTGGGAATTAAATGCTTAAGGCAGTGTCTGGCTATGTATAGCCAGTTTTCAATAAGTACTTACTGCTATTAAGCATCTGCTGCCTACTGCTGGATACTGTGCTAGGAACTGAGGATGCAAGTCAGGCACAGTTCAGTTGTTACAAAGCTTGCTGCTTTCAGGAACAAAGAAAGGAAGTGCTATGTAGATAAAGCTCATGATAAATTTGAAGGTATGGGGGCTCACTTGCTATGCCTGACATCCCTTATAGGTAAAGGTGGGGAAGGGGGAGAACTCCAGGTGTGGATCAAAGAAGCCAAGAACCTGACAGCTGCCAAATCAGGAGGGACTTCAGACAGCTTTGTCAAGGGGTGAGTCCCTGGACCAGAACCAAACTAACCAGCTTCAATACAAGAGTTAACAGAGGAACCCAATTTATCTTTCTCTGTGGATCCTATCCTAGTCCTTCCACCCGCAGCAATTTTGTACCTGCAGCTAGGTAATGGGAAAACCTCCAGAACTACCTTTGTACTGGTTTGAACTCAGTTTGCACAGGGCTGTGGTATTAATTTCCAAACAGGAAGGTGGCATATAGACAGATTCTGACTTATTTTTGACTCCTGTTCCTCATTAGTCCTAGGTCAAAATCTGCATTCCCTGACTGTCTAGCTTTGGGAACTTAGGGCTTTGTTTCCCATAATTTTTAAGTAATGCTAGCTTTTCCAGATTATAGATCACTCACTTACTTAAGCTTCCTAGCAAATCAATGTTTGGCTAAACCTAGAGATACTCCTACTTGTCTTTTGTAGGAACAATGGACCCAAATATTTAAAACTCATTTTTGGTGGTGCATAGACAACAGACTGACTAATAATATATTCATTTTCTCTCCAGGTTAAAGGAAGTGAATGAGGTGAATGATCTAGTGGAGGTAGTGGGAAGTCTGCTTCAGCAGATTCAAAGGAGGAGTGTATGCACTTGGATCTGGGTGTTGACTCTGCTTCCTGGGCTAGGCCTGTGGTAGGGGAAAAGGCAATTTAGGCAGATATTGCCATCTTTTAGTAGGTGCTGATTATTCCCTACCTTCTGCCAGATACCTCCTTCCCATGAGGAACAAGGCCAGTAAGCGTAAAACACCTGTGATGAAGAAGACCCTGAATCCCCACTACAACCACACTTTTGTCTACAATGGTGTAAGGCTGGAAGATCTGCAGCACATGTGCCTGGAACTGACTGTGTGGGACCGGGAGCCCTTGGCCAGCAATGACTTCCTGGGAGGAGTCAGGCTGAGTGTTGGCACTGGTGAGAGTCTCACCCCTATCCTCGTTTGTCTTAAAGTCCCAGTACTTCCGCATGCCACACATAGTTCCTGTACGACAGAACTTTCCTTCTTTCCTTTCAGTTAACATTCAACAAATATTTATTGAGTGCTCATGATGTGCCAGGCCTAGGGAAGGCTGAACTCCCATACTGTTATGTGTACAGAAATGTGACCCTGATAGCTAGGAACTCTATCATCCTCTAACAAAAAAAAATCTGCAAATCTTCCTTTGTATCTGTACCTCTAATTTTGATCTTTTGTCCTGTTACTATGAAAGAAAGGTCCTTGCTAGCAAAGTTCAACCTCTCCAAGTGTTCTGGATCATCCTCTTCCCCCTTTTAATGACCCCACTTCTGTAATCTCCATTTTTCCTGTATGATCAGTTTCATTCTCTTTACTGACTGAATATAAATACAGATATGTTTGGTGTTTCCAATCTCATTAAACAAAAATAAACCTTTCCCGGACCACGTCCCCCCTCTAATTTCTTTAAAAAAATGGTCTCTCCTTCCTCACTTCTCTCAGTCCCACCACTCTGCTGACAGATTGCTCATGCCAAAGTGGTGTTCTCATCGCACTAGACTTCTCAGCACTATTTAATATAGTACATCACTCTTTTTCTTGAAATAATTAGCTTCTAGTCACATTACACTCTGATTCTCTTTGAACCCACTGCTCATTGTTTCCCAATTTTTTTTTGTAGGTTTCTCACTCTATACCCAAACTCTAAATGTTTGTGCTTCTCCGGGCTTAGTTCTCTTCTTTTCTGTCTCTACAGTTTCTGGATTCCCATTGCCTTAAAAATACTCTTATTTACTAATAACTAACACAAAGCATCTCAAGTGATATTTTTAAAAATTTAAGCTAGTTCATGTCATTCCCCTGCTTAAAACCCTTCAGTGACTTCCTGTCCTACTTAGAAAACAATCCAAAGTTCTTATCAAGCCTATAGACCTCCTAGATAATGTGGACTCTGTTCCTTTCTGAGCCTTCTCTTCACTCTCAAGCTTGCTCACTGTGCTCCAACATAATGGCTTTAATTTTGCTTTCTAAATATACCATGCTCATTCCTACCCCTGAATATTTACATTGATTATTCCCTCTGTCTGGAAAGGCTGGCTTCTTGCCATCCTTCAGAGTCTCCTCAGAGTCTCTCAGCTTGGTCTATCCACAGTAGGTCCTGATCCAGGCCCTGTAAGACACCGTCTTCATTTTCTTCCTAACACTGATCTCACTATCTAAAATAGTCTTGTTAATGTGCTTATTTTATTTTCTAACTTTCTATTCAAATATAAGCTGCTTGAAGACAGGGACTTTTTCTGCTTTGTTCACTGTATCTCCAGAACCTAGAAGAATACCTGGCACTAGTAGGCATCCAGTAAATGTTTGTGGAATGAATGAATGTCTAAGAAAATAGGAATGAAGCTAGATACTCCTAACTTTAGGCATGGAGTCTACAGCTAGAGAGAGAGAGTTGTTCAGCTTTTCAAAAAATTATTAAGTGAAGTTGCCAGTAACAGAAAGATAGTAGCTCTGGCATGAGGTATCAGACATCAGTGCTCTGTAACAACCTCTGAAGTCTCTAGTGACTGTGTGTCATTCAGAGTTCCATTTCATCAACCTGAAGTCTCCTGATAGACACAGAAACAGAAATATGTACGCTCTTTGTGGGATCAACAGAGAGCACTTCTCTAATTGCTGTCCCCATCAGCCCATCTCCACTGCACAATTTTTTTGTGGTACTGGGGTTTGAACTGAAGGCCTCACGCTTGCTAGGCAGGTGCTCTACCACTTGAGCCACTCCGCAAGCCTGCTCAATGTTTTCTTATGGGATGACTTCCCTTGCTGTATAACCCATCTTCCCTGGTAGGCTGAGGAGTAGGGCCCCTGTTCAGCCTCCTCTGGTGTTTCTCCTCAGGGATCAGTAATGGGGAAGTGGTGGACTGGATGGACTCGACTGGGGAAGAAGTGAGCCTGTGGCAGAAGATGCGACAGTACCCAGGGTCTTGGGCAGAAGGGACTCTGCAGCTCCGTTCCTCGATGGCCAAGCAGAAGCTGGGTTTATGAGTCATCCATAGGGTCCTCTGCAGGTCCAGCCCTAGCCAGGGCAAGTCAGAGGAAGTCAAGAAACCAAAAGAAAAAATTTCTAATTTAATATGTATGTGTTGGATGTGTGTGTACAAAATGTATTCCTGCAAATCTCATTTTCCTAGCTATGGTAATGCACAGTTGTTCCCCCTTTTAAAGCAGGCTCAAGAATAAGGGTCTCTTCAAAATATTTTTTTGTATATAATCTAGTATATTGTCAGAATACATTCTTTCCTGTACCTTTATGTGGTTTAATCAACTTTAAAAAAATCTTTTAAGACAACTTTTTACCTTTTGTCTTGCTGTCCTTGTTCCTACTTCCCCAGGAAGCCCTGGCAACTTTTGACATTAATTCCAGTCTGTGGTTTGAGGTGTGCCTGATCTGAGTCTCAAGCTCTGGGAAGCAGGGTTGGGCTACTAAAAACAGGGGGATATGGGAGAAAGGTAAGTAGGTCCTGTCCTTCCTCTCCAACTTGTACTTTTAACTCATCTTCTACCTCAATAAATTTCTGCCTTTTAACTTTTCTTTTAAGAAATGTCTACCTTGCTTAGGTATAATGGTTTTTCTTGAAATGCTAAGAAAATTCCCTAGCTCCTTCCAGTTTTAGACACCTTTATTAGATCTTTGGGGAACCCATATAATGGAGTCACTTTAGAAAAGCACTCTAATTAGATAATGGCCTTTTGACTGACTCATGAACATGTCCAGTGAGACCTTCTGGTTGATCCCAGAGGACCCAAGTGATGGAGAGTAAAGTGTTTCACAGTGCATGCTGCATTTTAAATAGATACAGCAGTTGTTGGAGAGAGAACTCATTTCTCTAATAAAAATGAAATGTCTTCACTCTCATGTACCACATCTTTCCACAAGTTTGTGTCTGTCTGGTGTATTTTGTTACACAGACCTCTGTGTCAGCCAGAAGAGACAAGGATTATCTAAACTGGTACAGTGTTCTCTCAGGCTGGGGACTATTAGTGCTCCAAGAAGATGTAGACAGATAATCTCCCAGTTATTCTGACTTCCTGCCTGATAGCTGATGTAGTTGCAGGTTCCATTTTCCTGTTGTACTCTAAATTTTCCCAACATATAACATGGGAGTACTGTGTTGAGGGTTTTCAAAGAGAGTTATAGTGAGCTAATTTTCATTTCTAAGTTACTCACTCTTCCAAACTGACCATTTTATTCTTACAAGTGTATCTATATAAAGGTGTGTGTGGAAGGGGTCTAATACCAGAGAAAAAATCCATTTTAATAGAGCCATCTGCTAGCTGACTCTCCTGTAAGACCACTATATTGAGGGCAGCTACTGTGGTTTCTATTCTATGTGCAAACTGAATGGAGGGATTTTTTTTTTAGATTTATTTGGTGTGGATTGATTCTGCAAGTATAACTTAAGATCCTATGTTGTAAATGTTGTAACTTGCTCTTTTGTTTTCCATCCCAACATGTGTGCTACAATAAAGCTTTCTCATTTGTGTAATGTTTGCATTTGATAGTTCTATAGACTCTTTTGTCTCTGATATCCAACTTACTGTTGCTTTTTTTTTTTTTTTTTGCATACTGGGGCTTAAACTCAGGACCTTCACCTTGAGCCACTCTACCAACCCTATTTTTGTGAAGGGTTTTTCAAGATAGGGTCTTGCGGAACTATTTGGCTGGGCTGGCTTCAAACCATAATCCTCCTGATCTCTTGCCTCCTGAATAGCTAGGATTACAGGCATGAGCCACCAGCACCCGGTACTGTTGCGTCTTTTAAATGTGGCTTGAAGTGTAAGGACTAGAGTGAAAAATGCCCTTCCCTAACCATCCTGTTCTGACTTGAAGAAAATTTGCCTTTTCCCACATTGATGCATGACACCTTGTTTGGTATCTAAAAGTGGCATTACTTTTCTCTCTCTCAAGTACTAAGGTAACTAGCCTTTAGCTTTGTAGACCCTCCTTGCTGGAGGGAAGAGAGAGATGTCTACACGGGGAGGTGAGGGAAGACATTCCCTGCTATAAGCACTTCTTTATGGATTCTTCAGTTTTGCTGGGAGGAGGGAGTTGTCTCTCTACTACTTCTGCTACCATTATTTAATTTTGAGAGCTAAATAACACAGATGCTAACTAACCCATCTGTGAAACAAAGCTCTGGGTTTCTAGATAGAGTCCAAGTGGTTCTTGATCTTTTGTGCAAAATGGCATTAATGTATATCAAATGTTTTATACATACACACACACACATATGACTTTATATACTTTCTTAATCTCTTCAACCACATTATGAAGTAGGAAATCTTCCCTTCTTTCAGAAACTCAAACCCACTGTTATGGGATAGATTTGGGATTTGAGTCAAGGTCTGACTTTCCTATACCATGCTGCCTTCTGTGAGAATGATGCGTGTATTATGGGCAAAGAGTCAAAGGAAAGAATAACTCATATCTTCCAAAATACCTTAGAGAAATTGGTTTAATTTACAAAGTAGGACAATCAGAATGGTTTGAATATTACCTAGCCAATTTAGTTATTGTATGGCTTGTGTTTATGTATATATATATATGTGAGGAGGATAGAAGAATGGGAGAAAGGGGATTAAAGTAGAGGAAGAGAGAGAGAGTGAGTTAGGGTCACACTAGCCCCTTAAATCTGGTGTGGGCCTGATTCTGCTCCTGTCTTTTTCCACTGCTTTAGGAGTTAAGATTTCTTGAGTGATAACATACAAAGGACTATAGAGGAGGCTACAATAAAACTTTACCTAAAGAAAGCAAGATTGATTTGCTCAAAATTAAGCAAAAACAAAAACTCTTTAGTTATTTTAAGCTTGAGGAGCATTTATATGCAAGAGATAAGCCCTGGTGGGAACTCTGTTCAGGAGTTAGTGAGGCCTCTATGTTATCTTTGGGCCTATGACCTAATAGCATGTCGGGCTTGCCACTTGAAGTGGTAGTGATAAAGACAAGGAAGGGCATTCATCTTTCCTGATGTAAGTCTTTACCTTTGGAACTACAGGACTTGTCAGACCAGAAATTTCCCATACAAACTCACAGTGTTTTGCCTTCTGTCTAGAACTTTCCTTTGGTCTTGCAAAGTTCCTGTACTTCCCTGAAGGGAAGTTGGAGAAAGGGTCCTTTTCCTCCAAGTTCTATCATTTTTTTCCATGTCCCATTTTACCCAGAAACTATTTTTTTATTTTGCATTTTAAAACTGAGATTTCCACTATACCCCCAGTGGAAATAGCTTCTCTATTACTTATAGCTACCTTCATATGTTCTGGGCTCATGATTTATGTCCCATCACTCTGCTTTAAAGAGTGAATTCTCTGGAGTTGAGAGCCTTACATTTTTCTCTTTCCTCCAGGAAACATTCTGAGTCTTGTGTCTGAGAAGGATTATAGAAGATAGAACCTTTCTTCTTCCTTAGGGCTTTCAGCTATCTTTAAATAAGAAGTAGAAAAAGAAGTAGAGGTTGGGTGGCATAATGTTTAAGACTTGACTCTGAAGCCTGGCTGCTGGTGTTTATATTCCAACCCTGCCACTTATTAGCTGTCTGATCTTAGGCAGATTGCCTACTCTTGCTGAGCTTTAATTCCTTCATCTGTGAAAGGGAGCTAATAACAGTACCTGCCTTACATTGTTCTTGTAAAGACTTTAGAGTCAGTCATTGAGTATTTACAAAGGCACCGGGCACCAGTGAGTGCTTCGACATTATTAGCTGTGCCTCCCCACCCAGCCTGCTTTTGGCCCCCTCTAATTTTCCACCAATGACCCCCTGGGTAAAGCTGAAGGAAAAAGGTTGCTAAGTCTTTACTATGACTCTTGGTTCCATGACTGTATAAAAGGAAGGTTCTTAGCAGCAAGGGAAGAATATTTTTGTCTCAAACACACACACACCACGACTGAGTGAGACTGAAGCCAGAACAAAGATCTAGGGCTGGTGGTATAGCTTAGTGGCAGTGCTGAACATGTGCAAGCTGCTGGATTCAATCCTAGGTCAAAAAAAGAAAATAAGGGAAAAAATAAAAAATGAAGGAAAGGAGGAAGAAATAGGGAAGAAAGAAAGGAAGAACGGAAAGAAAAAAAAAACAAATGAAAGGAAAGATGAGCTCTGTGCTCATCTCCTAAAAGTGAATATCTGAGGAAGTTAAAACGTGAGGCTGAGTCTGTTTTATTTCCCTATTATCTTTATTGGTGCTTTTGAGGTGCCGGCTCACAGGCAGGGTATGTGTGTGTGTGTGTGTGGGGGGCGGTTCTCTAATGAAGAGACAGCATTGTCTACCTTTTGTGTAGGGGATTGGAAGCCTCAGTAGCTAGAAGTTCTTGCCCATGAGCCAGCAGGAGGTGGAGAGACTATTCTTACTGGATTTTTTCCCCAAACTCCCTCCCATTGCAGTGTTTTTATAACTCTTGATGAAGCAATGATTCAAACAATATTTTTAGCTCAATGCCCTAGAAGGGGAAATGACAAACAGGTTAAGAATGTTTTGTAGATCTCTGCCACCCTTCTCCCTGCCCCTGATATAATTAACCTGTAAGGAAAATCCATCTGCACTTTCTTAGTGTCTCTGTTGTGATGGTGCTGCCCTCTGCTGTCACCTCAGGGTGGAGGAACCATTTCAAACAGACCAGTAAGTGAATGGATTTAGAATTTACTTATCTGGAAGACTTTGGAAAGTTGGGCAGAGGCCAAGGTTAGGAAAGGAAGATCTTATACCCACAGCCTGCTGCCCATGGCCTGTCCTCAGTCCCTATCTAGCTTCTTAGGCAACTCCAGTACTACCTGAAGCAGACACTTGCTTAGGGAAACTATTACACAGCCCTAAAAGGGTGCCTGGAAATGTCCCAGGATTGGCAAACCTTACCCACCTCAGAGTCCTGTCCTTAGAACTGTGGGAAACCCATTTCCTCCTTTAGTAGGCCTCAGTTTCAGCTAACTGGGAAGGGGGGCCTTATTCCTTTGACCTCAACCATGCCCTGGCTCAAGTTTACTCGCAAACATCCCTTTGCTCCTGGCGCTGGGTCAGCTCTTGATTGCTCAGTAGGTAGTCATCAATGAACGTGAAGATTTCTTCTGGGGTTACAGGTTCCATGTAGCGCTCCCGGTCAATACCCTGCTTGTCAATCAACACCATGTTGAAGTAGGAGCGAGTGAGGTGCTGAATTTGCCTAGAGAGAGCAACCCAGGGAGGTGTGAGACCTTGTTTGGGCATTTGTCCCACAGGGCTCTACTACCTTTTGACCTTTCACAGTTCCGCTGATGGACTAGATCCTTCCTCATCCCTTCCTGTGTCTACCTCTTATCTCAAGCTCTGTTGCTTTTTTCTGCTAGTCTTGCTGCCCCATGTGTCTAGCTCTGGTAAGCTGTCCTTTCCTCACTCCAGCTAGGGCAGCTTATTACCAGGCTGTTCTGCTGTGGACCCCTTTAAGTAGGGCTACTACATACTGATATGCAGGCTTATGAAATAACTCCAGGGAGTACCCATCATAGACACCCTGACATGTATCCACATCATACATGGCAGTCCTGAGGTTGATAAATCCCTCCTGGTTAACTCTTCTATCTGCAAGTCTGTGGTCTTACTTATCTGAGTGTTTCCTACTCTCTCTAACTGGGACTGAGTCTTTCTGTCCCCACTGAGACTGAGCCCTGGAGCAGGTATTGTTTCTAAAGCAGAGCACTTTATACTCAGGGCTTTATTAGCTTTGAGTATAGAGACATTTGAAGGCTGATAATGGATAGAAAATGAGAAAGTCAACTTCTACCACCTATCACCTATAACTTTCTCTTCCCCAAGAGTCAGACAGATGTGATTCAGATTTCAGAGCTTAAAAATGCCTTTTGCTCCTTTGGAGACTGAAGCAGTAAGATGAGGCCATGAGGCAACAGAATTGGAGGTTTATCCCATTGAGTCTGTCTTAGCCCTGCCATTGCTTCAGAGTCACATGAGTTGCCTTTCCCGAGGTGATTTGCACTGGGCCTGGTAATCTGTATTTTAAGCCCCCATTTGATTCTCGTGCTCTGCTGCCGTTAAGAATTACTCTCTGGTCATACCAATGCAGCCATAAGACTTCAAACACAAAAAGTACCCCAAGAGAGTAATGTCTTCTCATGCTGCCACAATCCCTGGTTGCTAGAGTCCTGCCTCTGGCTTCTGCCCATCCCTGCCCTGCAGTCCCCCAGCCTGGACCTGAGCTCCTCAATGATGTTGGCTGACAGCTGTTGCTCCCGGATGCGCCCCACCTCTTGAGGTGGCTGTCCCACAAGCTCGATGATGGTCACATGCCGCAGGTCCAGTCCACAGGTGGATTGCTGGGAGGGGGAGACAACATTTAATGGAACAGCCCTTTGCACTTAAACCTAAGGCTACTTGGCTGATTCCTCCCGGGACCACAGGAGGCAGTGTGGGAAATGAGGGGCTTCTGCAGTGATCCCACAATCACATTATCAACTGATGACACACTATGGGGTCTACACACACTTTGCTCTCTGTCATTCTTGAAGTATTTTCCCCAAAAGTGCTTCCTTCATTCTACTGATGTGTAATGAAACCAGTTACACCGTGTGAGTAGAAAAGAGAAACATAATTAGTTATCTGCAGGAACATAACCTGCTTAATTTTGCACAGGTTTTAAGCTACATAGGTTCTTAATGGATAGCTAATGTGGTACAATAATAATGGCTACTGTTTCTTATTTATTTACACATGCCCGATGCTTGTAGAAATAATCTAATTTGATCCTCATAACATCCCTACCAAGGTAGGCGGTGTGATTCTTATTCTGTAGGGGAGACAGTAACTTGCCTGATTTGGCCTGACAACAAGATGCTGAGCCAAGATTCAAGCTGAGGGTGATGGCCTGCCCTAGTGTGTGCTCTTTACCACTAGGCTAAGTCCCCAGAACCTTTTCTTAGTCTCTAGACCATCTCCACAGTAGTACTTGTGATCTTTTCATTACTCTTTGTTGCCTTCCTCGCACTGGGCAGCACATGCTGTCACTCTACTTTTCCTGGCTATCCTGCCTTGCCCTGCAGGGCCTCTCCTATTACTCAGTTACGAGGGCAAGGTTTGTTTGTTTAAATTTTAGAGACAGGGTTTCCCTATTTAGGCCAGTCTGGTCTTGGTCTTGAGATCCTCTTACCTCAGTCTCCTGAGTGCTGGGATTACAGATGTGCCCTACCACATCCAGCTAGGTCAAGGTTTAAAGAGGCATTGACCACTCCCTGGTAGCCCACCCCCAGTTTCATTTTATTCTCCACCTTTAGTCCTGACCCTCAAAGTCATTGTCCTAACTGACAGGTTCTTGTTCTTTTTCTTGCATCCAGCTCTTCATAGTGTTTCTCCACACTCCCTTCTCAACCTCTGCCCATCCCCCTCAAGTCACATCTACCATTCCAGTGGTCTTACTGCCTTTTCAGTAGCAGTTTTAAACAATGCATTAAAAATGTCTGCGGTAAAGCTGTTCAAATGCTACCCACAGAAAGTATGATGAAGTAGGATTTGTGCTGCAGAGAGCAACTATTTGAGTTGGAAAAGGTCAGGGGGTAATGAAAAGGAGCTCAGTCCTCATCAGGAAATGGGTCTTACCTGCAGCATAGAGATCTGCATTTTATAATACCGGTTGGAGGGATCAGGAGCTGAGATGATGAGGAGTCGCTGTTTCTCATAGAACTGATCCAGAAGGCCAGCAGCTGAGTTGACATTGACATTAATCTTCATACCTAGGACAGATGCAGATGGCCAGTCAGAGTATGCCCTTCTCTTTACCTTGTTAGGGTAACCTAACATCTTGAGGCGTTCCAGTCTTTCAAGATAACTCTTCTGGTTGTTTCTCCCTTCCCTGAGGCTGGGGGTGGGGAAGGGGAGGTGGGGGGTGAGAGATCCTGAAAGAAACTTGAAGATTTGGGGGAATGTTGGCCAATAATACAAACCCATTGCAGAACTTCCCCCCATTCCCCTATCATATACATTACTGTCCGATCATGTGCCATGGGGGCAATCCTCCAAAGTATCCTTGATCAACATGTGTACTCCACCTATTCCCTGGTTTCACTCACGAGTGCAGATAGGTGGTGATCCTGACCACTGGCGAGTGGACTGGCAGACCCGGGAAGGGGTTCCCTGGCGCTCATAACCACCATCACAGTGATATTCACAGGTGGCGCCATAGTTGTCCCCTGCTGAGGTACAGGTGAGGTAGCCGTGCTGTGGTGGTTTCAGAACTGGGCAGCGTCTCACTGTCGGGGAGGAGCTCAAGTTAGGGGCTATGGTGTCTCATAGGTAGGAAAGGCTAAGAAGGTACCCACTCTGGACTTTCTAGAAAAAGAGACTTGGAATGACTAGAATTGATGGCTTTTCTGTTTCCAATGGCCAGAAATGGAGCTATAATTTTCCTTTCTTAAAGAATCAAATTTGAAATGTAAATCATTATGTATTTTTAGAGTAGAATGTTATGCTGTCATTGAAAATATTTCTAAAGAATTTTTAAAGAACATTAGAAAATTATGTGTGCTTTAATGAGAAATGAAAAGGGTGATCTATGAGTATAGATATAGTATAATTTCAAATATATACATACACACACACACACACACACACACACACACACACACACATATGGTGGTACTGTGGTTTGACCTCTTGGGCTTTATACTTGCTAGGCAGATACTCTACCACTTGATATTTACCCCGATCCCTTTTTGCTTTAGTTATTTTTTGGATAGAGTCATTTTTGCCCCAGGGCTAAACTCAACCTGCACATTCTGGGCCACATATATATTTACTGGTGGGCCTGGTGGATATATATAACAAAATTAATTTTAATAGACATATGTTTATATACTTTAAGCATGCTAATTGCTAACACACAACTAGAGTCAGAGCCAACAATGTATTTCTAAGTATGCATAGAGAAAAGACTGGAAAGCAAATACCAATAGGTAAACAGCAATTTCCCCCTGCATGATGGAGTAATAGATTTTTCCCCTTTAGATATTTATTTTTCAATTGTCCAACAATGAGCACAAATTAATTTTTTGAGAAAAGCTAAACAAAACAATGTGACACAAAGCAAAAAGGAACAAATTTGGCAGCCAACACCATCAGTTTCATTACAGGTGAAGACTGAGAATAAAGACTGATTAGATTTGATAATTTTGAAAGCCAAAAAAGAAATTGAGTATCTTTGTGAATTTTATCTAGACTCAGGAGAATGAGAAAGTCTTGTTAGAGAGCCAAGGTTTCTGTAACATATGTAAGTACATGTAATGTGGGCTTCCTCAATAAGCCTATTTGGTGAACTTGTTTTTTTCCCTCTCACAGTGTATGTTGTGTCTGTTTCAGGCATAGAGAAGAGAGGGTTGTTGTGGGCTTCTAGAAGGTCAGGATAGAGCAGGAATAATGAACAATGTGGAAACTGAAGAATTCTTTCCGACCTTGTACTTTCACAATGAATTTGCAACTGGCCCGGTTGTAGGCACGATCATAGGCAGTATAACGAATCACATGTTCTCCTTCAGGAAAGTGAGAACCAGGCTCAGGGCCCCGAAGTGTCACCCTGCAGGAGACAGAGTAAAAAAGTTACTGAGGAAAAAGATCCTTAGAACTGAGGTCTGAGGCACACCAGCCCTGTAGCCTCAACCTGTGCAGTTTCAGTGTGAGTAGCTTGAGGGACTGAGAAAAGCTGCCAGGGAGGTATAACAGGAGTGGGTGGGTGGCACATGTCACTCAAGCTTACCTGGTGATGGTACCATCAGCAGAATCTTTCACCAAGGGTGGGTCCCAATATACTCGAGCAGTCAGTTTCTCTGGCTCTGCCATCTTCTCACGTGAGTGGGGACAACGGATCTTGGGGGGGTCGATGTCTACCAAAGTCAAAAATCAAGTGCTGATACATGGGTCCCTTGCTTCCCCTGAAGGGAACCCATTGAATCAATACCACAGACCACTGGATTAGGCAAAATGTTGAAGGTTTTCAAGGAAGTCTGACTCCAGGAAAAATGATCATATGCCCCTGGTACCACCCCATAGAGAACAAGAAGGCCTTCTGCAATTAGAATTCTGCATCTTCTGACATGATGCTGAGGTGGTTCTCTAGAGCAGGACAACTGGAAGCAACCAGTATTTACCTACACATACAGGCTCGCCTCCACTCCACTGCCCATCTTCCATGCAAATCCGGCTGCGGTCACCTTCTAGGTGGTAGCCACTGGAACAGCTGTAGTCACAGCGGGAGTCAAGAAGCACCCCGTTTGTGCAAGTGTAGGTGCCACTACTGATGAGTGGCAATGCGTGGCATCTCATCTCTATAAGAGAGCCAAGTGGCAAATTCAGTGGCCTGTGGGGCTATCTGGACATTTACCACAGGGAGAACTATATCAGAGACAGCAAAAAATAAGAAACTCCACCCAAACTGCCCTTACATTTTTGTGAAGGCAATTGCCTTTTCACCCTAATTGTCTTTCTATTTTCATATTATAAAGTACAGTAGCATTCTTGGTAGAGCAGGAGGGGCCTCGAAGAAGTAAATTGCTTGTCTAGGAACATGAACTTCAGAATCAGACGTGGGTTTGAAAGCCATCTCCATCCCTTACTTGTTTTGTGACTTGAAGAAATTGCCTCATCTCTCTGAGTTTCACTGTTTTCATCAGTGAAATGTGAATATCTCACAGGATTGCTATGCAGATTAAAAAAGACGATGTAATATAAACCCCTGGACTTGTGTAGAGCCTCAGTACTTGTTAGTTTTTGTCTCTTGTTCCTCAGATGTTCCTTTGTGAGTATACATTAGGTACTTATACAGACACTTCTCAGCTGAGGCTCACTTACATGCCACAGTAGGTTGAGTTTCTGTTCAGGTGACAGTACAAGTCAGGCCATTACCTGGAGGGCCAAGTGTGGTGATATTTGATAAAGGAAGAATCTGTGTGCTTTAGACACCATGTGTACCAAAGACTGTTACTCATTAATTATTTGTGAGCTTATGCTTGCCAAAAGTCTTGTTTGAGATGCTTGATATTTGAGACAATTAGGCTATACATTCCTTTAGGTTGTCTAAGTTCTAATCTTTCATAAAGTTATAGAGTTAGAACTTTGAGTAAAGCTTCCATATAAACTATGTTCATTTTGCTTATTGGCTGAACTAGACTTAAAGATTATTGCCTGTTTCCCAGTATCTGTTATGTAAAGACCTGTGCAAAAAGTGAGCGTCTTGAAATCAGAGCCAAGAAAAAAAGATTTGTCTCTTCAAATAAATGTTTGCTTAGTGTTATATGACAATGAAAATGATAGGTTCAAAGTGTTTGCCTTTTTGTCTCTTGTGAGGAAGGTCAAAGCTAGATTCAGTGTTCAAATGTAATAATCAATGCATTCTAGGCACCTGGAAATATGTATATCCCTATTCTTTTAACTGTTTTTCATGTTTATTTATAATTAATAGCCCTATGAATTTCAAGTTTTCAGATCAATTCAAATTGATTTCAGAAATGGTAGGGTTTAAGTCCTAGAGCAATATAATGACAGTCACCTGCAGGGGGTTGTGATGACTTCCTTCTTTCTGGATACCAGGCTTCTCTTCTGAACAACATTTTCTTTGACCAACCTCATTTCCCTCTGAATGTTCAGCACTTCTGGATGCAAATGACATTTATGTGCACACATTTGGGTTTCTATCCCATTAGTCTACAAGAAGCCTGAGGGTAGTTGAGGAATTGAGTAAGCTCCAGAAGTGACCAATTCAGAGCCTTGCACACATGGATGTCTTACAAACGGTACTCAGCAATGGTCAGACAAACTACTAAAAGGAGGTGGCTGCGGAGCTTAAATAAAAGGTCAGGATTTGGAAGCTATACATGATTTGGGATGTGTGTGTGTATTAGCATCCTCATATTCTAGTCTCGGGGATTCTTCTTCTTGGCTTTTGGAAGTGAAGCATACCAGATGTTTCATAACCTTCACTGGCAAGGCCTTCTAGGATTGTAGGCCAGGAATTACAGCATTTGACCACAAGTGGGAAAGAGTCTGAGACTACAGATCCTTGGGAGCTCCAGAAAAAAGGCTGTAGCACATATCAGGCCTCAGGGCTAAGCCTCAGCCTCCTACATGCATTCTTGAATTCCCTGAGTCTGAACAGCTGGCTTCAACTTAAACACCCCTGTTGCTTGGACAGTAACCACAGGGAGAGAAAATAAACTAGGATGTTATGATGAGGAAATACCCTATTGGGAGATTATGGGAAACTCCAAATTTTCACTTAAAGAAGGGCATAGCAACAACTCATGGTATGTACCCCTCAGTGGGCAACTGGCTGTCTTCTCTTTTACACACACATCAGCATATACGCGCATACAACTTACGCCTGCAGTAGGCAGTTCCAGACCAACGGCGGCTGGGCAGGCATTGTACCGACCTCTGTCCAATCAGACGAAAGCCCCGGTCACAGGAGAGCTCACAACGTGTACCTAGACTGCTGTGGTAATTTCCTCCCCTTGGTGAGTAGCATGTGGCTTCTCCATCTTGGATATTTAATGTATAACACCATCGGGGGACTGTAGCAATAGAAGAAGAGTAAGCTAGAAGTACAGTAATCAATATAGTGTGGTGTTGGAGGGGATGAACCAATTCAGGATACAATGAAAATATACACAGAAATGTCATAATGAAACTCTGTGTAGATATCTTAAACAAAAATGTCTTTTTTCGAAAACAAAGGACAGGAAGGTAAAACAGATTCTGTCTGGTGGTTGGTACCAGTGGGAGGGGGGAGGATATAAGAAAAAGGTGTCGAAGGGTAAACATAGTGGAAATATTATGTACTCACGTATGAAAATGAAAAAATGAGATCCATTGAAACTATTCTAAGAATGGGTAGCGGGGATAAGGGAGAATGATGGTGGGGTGAATTGAACTAAGGTATATTGTAAGCACTATTGTAAATGCCATAATGTAGCCTCAGTTCAACAATACTATGATAATAAAAAAGACAATGTGGTATTGGTGAAAGGGAAGATACATAAATCAATGGAACAGGATGGAGATCCCAGAAATAGACCCACACAAGTATGCCAAAATGACTTTTGACAAAGGTGCAAGAATGATCCAATGGAGGAAGTACAGCCTTTCAAACAAGTGGTGTAATTGAACTTTCATATCAGAAGAATAAGAAGAGGAGAAAGGAATAGGAAGAAGGAGGAGGAGGAGAAGAAGAAGAAAAGAAACACAATCTAAGTCTCATACCTTATACAAAAAATTAACTCAAAATGGATGTTAGAATTACATGTAAAAAGGAAAAAACACAAAACATTCAGAAAAAAATACAGAAGAAAATACCAGGATCCAGGGGTAGGCAAAGAGGTCTTACCTCTTACACTAAAAGTACAATTCATAAAAGAAAATTGATAAATTGGAACTTTTCAAAATTAAGAATGTTTGCTCTGTGACACTATTAAGAGATCAAAGGTGAGGCATAAACAGAGAAAATATTTGCAAACCACATTAAACAAAGGACTAGTATCTAGAATATAGAAAAAATTCTCAATAGTAAACAAAATCAATTTCCTTTAAAATATGGACAAAAGATATGAACAGACATATAACCAAAGAGGATATCCTGATGGTGAGTAAGCACCTGAAAAGATATTCAGCATGAGGCTTCTGTGCCACCTGGCAGAACTCACTGCTTCCCTTGTACTCTTTCTTTCCTTCTCTTTCAATAAAGTTTTGCTACTGTTTTTAAAAATAGGTATTCAGCATGATTAATCATTAGAGAAATTCAAATTAAAATCATAATGAGATACCATTAACATACCCATTAGAATGCCTAAATTTTCTTTTTAAAATTGGAATACCAAGTGCTGGTGAAGATGGAGAGAAAATGGAACTTTCATAGATTGCTAGTAGAAATGCAAAACCAGCTACTTTGGAAAATAGTTTGATAGATTTTATAAAGCTAACACCATGCTTTCTTGTACAGAAAGATAGGCCTACCATATGATTCTGCCATCCCCCTTTAAGGTATTTACCCAAGTGAAATGAAAACCTGGCTCCACTCCCAAGTCCTGTACCCAAATGTTTAAATGGCTCTATTCATAATTGCCAAAAGCTGGAACAACTAAAATGTCTTTCAATGGGTGAATGGTTGAACTAACTGTGGTTTATCCATATAAAAGAATGAAGTGTTGATACATTTAACAACACAGATGAATCTCAAATGTATTTTGGGAAGTGAGAGAAGCCAGATTCAAAAGGATTCCATTTATATGACAAATATACAGGAACACATACAGCAAAATACAGGGACAAAATACAGATCAGTGGTTGCCACATGTCAGTTGTAGAGGTAGGGGATAACTCCAAAGGGGCAGCACATGGCAAGATTTTGAGGATGGAGCAACAGTTCCTGTTCTGTACTGTGGTGGTTGGTTATTTCACTCTATGCATTTATCAAAATGAAAGAATTTTGCTGTGTGTAAATTTAAAATCTTTTTAAAAAATAACACAAAAATATAAATTAAAGAGAGAAATGGAATGTGACATCAAAGACACCTGCTTAGGAATGAAAATCAAACCCATTTTAGTACTGAGCACAAAAGGTTATAGGGCTATTACATCATAAAGCCCTCATAAAGATGCCTTATTGGTGATACAAAATAAGTCACTGTTTAGCTGATTCAGATTTTAAAGGGACACAGAGAAACAAATGGAGGGTCACCTGCCCAAGGATGGTTATACAGCATACACAGATCTGTTCACTTACGGTTGAGAGCCCCACGTAAACTGATTTGATCCCAAAGCCTAGGGACAAAAGAAGTGGGGAGTTTTGACCAAAGCACATCACATTAGGAGCTAAAGGAACAAAGAAAGGCTAGAGCCTCTAATTCGAGTGCAGCTGGAGAGTGAAGACATGACAGTGAGAAAACTATTCTTCAATAAACCTCGCACTTGGGGCTTCCAGCACTAGCTTCAAGCCAGTAGCAGTGACAGGGCTGCCATCTGGAGACAGGATCTCCAAATTACAGAGAGTCTTAAACACTACAGTTGCAGAGCTCTTGGTTATAAGGCTACAACTTATATCACAAAGACCTTACCCGGGAGTCTGGGACCTCAACAATCTCTTCTATTTCTCTCTCATATTCTGTCAAGCAAGATACAAATCTGATTGAAATTGGTAGAAGCAAGAGTGGTAAAGGGAAATATAAAGTTCAGATAAATGCTGAGACAGTAATGGAGGCCCAGCTATTGTCAATAAAGACACATTTGCTGGCCCAGAGGAATCCTGGCATAAGAACAAAATGTTGGAAGGCTGGAGAAGGGTGAACACAAACCAAAGAAGGTACCCTCTGGGAACTATAGTGCCACTGACAGCACTGATAGCATAGTGTTCTAGAATATCTGAAGTAAGACAAGCACTACAATTTACAGAGAAGTAATGATCTCTAGGAGCCCACAAGAACAAGTAATTCCAGACTGACCTCATTTCCTTTTTCAGTAGGGCTACCAGACCGGTAGAACAGGGGAAGCAGTAGTTACATTATGTAGAAGTAAATGAGGCATGTGACAGTGCTTTTCATGTCAGTGATGTGGATGACATGAAGAAATACAGGGGAGGTGACAATATGGTTAAAGACATTCATAACTGGCTGAACAACTGTGCCCAAGGAATGCCAGTGGGAAACTGAAAGTAAGGATGTAATTAAATACTGCATGGGGAAAATGTCTGCTTAGAAATGTGTCCAGGTACTACACTACACACTTTTCTCTTCAGATACATCATCTCCTACAGCTCTCCCAATAATCATGAGAGGTAAGTAGATGTTTATCCCTCTCTATTTTTCAGAAGAGGAAGTGACTTGCCCAGGGTCCCTCAGCAAGTAAGAGGCAGGATTGGGATTAGAACCAAAGCTTTGTCTGCTCTAAAACCCATGTTCTTTCTAAGCACAAAATTTTCCATTGCAACTGCTGTTTTCAAGTATATATTGACCTTTTTGACTAGGTAATATATCCATGTGGTTCAACCCCCTCAAAGTATAAACTATTACAAGTGAAATGCCTCCCTACCAATCCTACTCCCAGACCCTCTCTCATTTAATGTCCTCTCAAAGAACCAATGTTGACAGTTTCATTATGCTATAATGCAAACTTCTGTATAGCTTATTTTTTCTTCTTTTTTAACATAGAGAGTAGCACAACATACCCACAGTTCCCAGCCCTGCGTTGTCTTTTGTGCTGCTGGGAATTATATCCAGGGCATTGTGCATGCTAGGCAAGTCCCCTATCGCTGAGCTATACCCCCCACCCATGACCAATGTTTTTTTTTTAAAATAAACTGATGTATTTTAGATATCTTTCCATATCACAATATAGCAAGCATGCAATTAATTTAAATAAAATAGCATTTATAAAAATATTTAGTATGGTGACTGGCACACAATAGGTGTTTGGGGTCAAAGAGTTGGGAGCTGGAGTTTCTTTTTAGGGCATATATAGAAAAGAAAGTGCTGACAACAGGGTTGAAAGGGGCCTTCTCCATGATTATCTTCAGATAATCCAGGCAGTGACTAATTTGCTCAGGGCTATGGCAAGCTGAGTGAAGCAGTTGCCCAGTAGACCGAAGGTACACCTCAGAGAAGGGTTTCTAACTCCAGTCTAGGTTTCAAGATAAGGGAATGACAGAAAGCACAAAATTAACAAAAATGGTACCAAACTACATGGACAGTTTGTTGTAAAATAATGGCATACTTTTTACTTGTTAGCTCTTCTTTTTATCTTTTTTAAAACAATTACATTTTTAATGAAAAAGAAAAAATGAACATGGCTTTGGAGTCAGACAGACCTGGGTTCAAACTCCTGCTGTCATCTCTAATCTCTGTGACTCCAATTTCCCTAGCTTAGTTTCCTGACCTGTAAAATGGGAAATCATAAACCGGTTCCATATGGCTGTGGTGAAAATCAAATGATATTGCATGTGTAAAATATCTAGCATGATGAATGATATTCCCTAAATCAGTATCTAGGTTAGAGCCACCGTCTCATCCGTTGTCAAGCAACAATGTGCTGTGGTTTCCATTTTTGACATGTGGCTGGGACAAAACTGCCATCTGGAGACACTATCTCCAAATTACAGGAAGTTCTTAAACACTACTCTACAGTTGCAGAGCTGATGGTTATGAACTCACAAAGGCCTTAAAAGGGAGGCCGGGACCTCCAGTTGTACTTTTCCTGGCCACTCCTTCCCATTCATCATTGACTTTCATCATAGACCCAGAGACTGAGACTCAAAAACACCTATAAAGACACTAGACCCCAAGGTCGAAGGCTGTTATGTGATTTATAAATGGTTTTATGCTAATTTAAAAATAACCAACGAGGCAGGTTAATATTAATCATAGGGCTGCCAGAGCTTTCAAAAGAGCCTTCTGGATGGGGGTGTAGCTCAGTGGTACAGCACTTGCTTAGCATGCATAAGGTCCCGGGTTCAATCTCCAGCACCACACACACAAAAAAAGTACCTTGTGCATTTCTTGATTTTTACTATCCATGCCTCACATTTACAGCCCCATACAATCCGGCCTCTGCTTCCAAGATGCCAACAGTCAGCATCTACTTTTTACATGGTTCTATGCGAGTAACATACATGACTCCTTTTGTTAAATAGATAACCATTTTTTGAGAGCAATAAACAGTGGACCAAAGAGGCAGCACATAATGAAGGCCAAATGAGTGGTCTAGGCAATAAACATTGATTTCAGAAGATGGACATAGTAGGTACTCAATAAATTCTTAATAAAGGAATGAATGGGTGAGGGAAAGATCTGAGTGGACTAAAGCTGTTTGGGAATGGACAGAGTAGTCCACCCAGGCTGAAGCACAGATTTCATGTGGGGAGAAGGAGTAAGAAATTGTCAGGCTGGGAAGCTACACTGAGGCCAGATTCTGATGGTCATAGCGGGTCACTAGGCTTGAGGAATGGGAAATGTGAGTCAGAGAATCTAGTTTGGAAGCAATTGTCATTTTCCATGTGGGAGGTATTAAGAGTTTTAATGGTGCGGATTAATGAAGAAATGATAGGTCTTGGTGAATGACTGGTGAGTAGTGATGAGGAAATGGGGGTTATTAAAAGGTAATGGGAGCTATTAGAGGTGACATTAAGGTATTTTGAAATCCAAGTCATTAAGAAAATAATAATAGGAAGTAGGACATCAGAAGTAGGAAAGTTAGCTTGAGAAAGATGAAAGAGTTTTGTTTTAGACATCACCAAATAGAAGTGTCTAGCAGCAGTTAGAGATGTAGTCCCAGGAGCTCAAGGGAAAAGTCAGGGTTATCCACATGCAGATTCTAGCCTCATTCTCTCTATTGTCACCACCAGAGAGCCCATCTCCTTTCTTGGCTTCAGCTTTGACCATAATAGTGAAATGTCATGGAGCCCGAAGAAGAGGGGTTAAGAAGAAAGTGGTGTGTTTACTATTGCTGCAGACACTGAAGTTGAAGTCCATGTGATTTGGTCACTGGGAGAGAATGGTGGTCTTCAAAAGGTATTTCAACTTGGAGATTTGGGGGTGGATGGGAAACAGACCACAGGGAGTTTAGGATTTAGTGGGCCCTGGGACAGAGGCAGTGGATGTGGACCACTGGCAGTGAAAAGAGGATAAGTAGAAGGTAGCTAGAAAGGAGCTAGAAGAACCCGAAGCGCTGATCATTTCTCTGTTGAAACTTTTTTCACAAAGGTGACTATTTATCTCCTTCTTACCACATAAAATGTTTGTTCTCTCTTCAATTTGGCCTCTTTACAATACTTAAAATAGTTGATTTCATACCCTTTCCATTTTCCTAAATTCTCTTTTTCGGTGACTTTTGTAATATAATAGACACTACCCTAATATCCTTCCACATGTGTGACCACTAACTCTTCCTTGCTGGCTCCTTCTCTCCTACTCATATCTAAAGATGTCTACTAAAGCTGTGACCTTGGCCCTCTGTTTCCTCAGACAGCTCATTCATGTAAGCATGGACTCACAAACCTCCATCTTTCCTCTTCCAACTGCCTATCTTGCACCTATACCAAACAGTTTACTTTTTAACTTTGTCTTTCTCAGAAGGGTCTTATAATTCTCCAAGGTTTTCAGATTGAATGTTTTTAGACATCAGTATCTTTCTTAGTCTCTTAGTACATCAAATCTGTACCAAGTCTTGCCATAACCTTCTTTGAAACTTCTCGGGGTATGTCCTCTTTTGTGGAGCTAGGAATCATGCCAGGCAAGCATTCTACCACTGAGCAATACCCTCAGCCCCTTGGGTGTACATCCTTACTCTCCATTTCTTTGCCACTACCCTCAAACATCTCTACCATTTCTGTAACTGGTTTCTGGAGAGTCTCCCTGACTCAGGCTCTACTTCCAATACCTACTTTCTGAACAGAATAACCAGGTTAATGCTCTGAAATTACAATTTACAGTGTCACTTTCCTGTGCAAAACCATATGATGGTTCCTTTTAACTCCTAGCCCAACAGCTAAAACTTTTTAGTGTGGCTTGTGAAGCATAGAAACAGAGAATCAGAAACAGAAGGGATATGACACATCACCTGGCCATTACACTCTTCCTGCCTCTCATTAGAAGGATCCCTAGGTTATGGAGCCTTTTCAAATTTGATTTCACTCTTTATGTCCAGCTTTATTCTCCACTAGTCCCTCCATATTCCAACTCTTCCAGTCAGGCTACTTTCTTCTTAGCTGCTCTTGGAATGGTTTGTTTCTACTCCATGTCTTTGGCCATCTGCTTTGCCAAATGCCCTCTCCTCCTCTTTCTAGCTCTCAAAATCCTGCTCATCATTCAGGACCTTGCCTAAATGTCATCTTTCATGACCTCTTTTCTGGCTCCATTGTCTTAACTCCTGTTGCATTTACTGCTACCACTTACTTGCCCTACATGTGCTCATTTTTGGGGGACAGTAATGAAGACTGAACACAGGGCCTCCTGCTTGCTAGCCAAGTACTCTATCACTTGAGTCATGTCCCTAGTCCTTTTGCTTTTAGTTTATTTCCAAGTAGGGTCTCATGCTTTTGCCTGAGCTGACTTTGGACAGAGGTCCTTTCACCCATACCTCCAAAGTAGCTGGAATTACAGGCTTGTGCCACTGCACCTGGCTCCCTGCATGTGTTCATTTTATCCTCCCTTTACCCCCAACAGAATGCAAGCCTATCTTAGACTTCATATCACCCACAGGCTTACCCTGCACAAGATTAAGCATAGAGTAGATACTCAGCCAATAGTTAATAACTAATAACAGACGGATAATCTTCAGGTTAGGGAGGCAAAGTCACAAGGCAAATTCATGATTAGAATTACAACACACCTGCCCCTGTCAGGCATGGAAGTGCATACCTGTAATCCCAGCACTTGGGAAGCTGAGGCAGGAGGATTATAAATTTGAGGTCAGTCTGGGCTACATAGCAAGCTGCAGGCCAGCCTGGCAAGACCTTTTCCTCATTAAAAAAAAAAATCATAGCTGCTGATTTACTGCAGTGCATTTTTGGCATATATGAGCTAAGCCTGAGGATGCTTCAAGGAATGGCCTAGGCCTTAGGCTAGAAAAGGGCCTTCATGGGTCTGAGAAACAGTGAGGATTACCTCGGTAGTCTAGGGCAGGGGCCCGTGGGACCTCTTCTGCATATACTTCATTGTAGCTTTCATCTGGATAGTAGCCTGAACCTAGAATAAAGAAAACAATATCAAGATGGTATATTTTATATTGGTTTCTTAATCAAGTCCTTCCCAGCCCCACCCCTTTGTCTTTCCCTAAGGACATGCAGTTCATGGGTGGGGAGCCCATTGACTTGTAAAGCCACAGAACTACCCTGGGTGAATCTCAGCATATCAGGTGCATAGAGAACAAACTCATGGTTGGGGTGGGGCCCACTGATGTCACTAGAAGAGACAAGGAGAAGTCAGAGTGTCCTGTCCCCACCCCCTTCAGGCACAATAAGCAAGTGTTCTACCACTGAGCCACACCCCCAGCGGAAGGCAGAATCCTTTGTATAAATTTCCTATTCCTCTAATCAGGAAGAGCTGCTACTGAGCTAGAGGATACTCCTAATCTACCTCCATCCAGTCAAGTAGTCCAGTGCCTGGTGGAGGCAAGTCTGCAGCTGCCTGGAAGACTAAACAGTATGTTCCACCAGACAGCAGGAAATCGGTCATGAATACAGACTAATTGGAAAACAAGTTGGTCCTTTCCGGAGTGAAGTTTCGGAAACCCTCAGTCCAGCCTCCCTGAGCTCTAATGCACACACAGGAACAGGGCAGCTAGCCCTGCTGGAGTGTGTAGAAAATTCTCCATTTCCAGGAGAGGGTGTGCTTCCAGGACAAGGCTGGATTTTAGTGCTAGAGCCCTTTGGCTTGTATAAACAGACCACAAACTCGTGGCCCTTTCTCTGGGCAGAGGCACAGGGGCCCCTGCACTCAAGGGTGGAGCAGAGGTAAAATGATGAAGCTTCTCCACTCCCCCGTGGGCCCAAGGCTAGGGGTGCGTGAGGGGGCGGTGTTAGGAAACCAGTCCAACTTGGTGAACAAGAGAATGAATCAAACTGAAAGTTTGCCTTATGAAGTCATGTTCTTGTTGGTTTGCCCTCATTCCAAAGGAAAGAGTTCATTTTTTCTTTTTTCTGTTTTGCTCTTTTCCCGTTTCTGTTCTTCTGACTTTCCTTTATTTCTCTGTAGGGCTTAACTTCCTTGCTTTCTTTTCCCACATGGCAGATTTCTTTGTGAGACACAGAATTCTTGTTAGCTGGTTCACTTGAGTATTAGCCACAAAGCCCTACAGCTTCTGTAAACAGGAGGCCAGATGTGTGTGATTCCCCCAAAGTATTAGGTTCCCTCCCCCTCTTGTTACAGCGTTAGCTTGAGAAGAAATGCTCAGCAGGGAGCAAACAGCTGTTTACCGGAAAAGAGAATGGGAGTGTCAGAAGCCTCTGGATGGACAACAATGCCACCAGTAGCGACAGCAATGACTGTTAACATCACTCATCTCCTCCTCGGTGTAAAGCATATGGCATTTCATTATGGCACCGTAACATCTCAGTGGGGTAGGCACTATTAATGCTCTCCACTGTGCAGAGGAGGAAGCGGGCTTGGAGAAATGAAAGGAGTTGCCCAGTCTTCCAGGTACTAAGTAGTAGAGTGGCCATTCCAGCCCAGGTCTGATTGAGCACAATGTACCAACCTAAAATGGTGGCAGAGGAGAGCTTTTTGATAACGTCCATCAGGGGAAAAAAAATCTTTCTTGTAATCCATTTTTTTTACTCTTTGTATATAGGCAGGGGTAAGGATCTAAGGCCACCAAGAATTTTACATCGTTTCGGAATTACAGGGGATGTGGGAAAACTGCGAAGACTCAGTGAGATAATTACAGTCTCCACCAGAGTGTGGAGGTAGCTAGATCAGTGCCAAATTTTGTTTGGGCCAGGAATGGACTTGAGTTACCTTACCACTTTAAACCTTTCCATTTGTCTTCTTTGCCTGCCTTTGAGTATTTTATGCATATGATGGATACTGAGGTGGGGCCTAAGAACGAAACTAGAGGGGCACACTCTCTACCTCATTCCTTCTGCTTGTGCCTCTTCAGCACTTGGAGGGAGGGGTCTGGATGAAATTTTTCAGTTTTCCTGGCATCAATCAGTGGTTGGTTCTCATGTGTTGCGTTACTGGGTTCCTCCATCTTCCACAGCCCAGTGAGACCCTCTAAGCACTACCCTTCATAAAGCTATGCTTGGAAATGTAATTGAGAGGTGAAGACTATTTTAAGATCCCCATCAATGCCTGGCTTATGATGACCAATACAGTCTGACTTCCTGGAGTACACAGATATGCCAATGTGCACTTTTAACCCACTCTTTTCCTCATGTATATTCTTGAACTTTCTCAACCTACACTGATTATTCCTGGACCCTTTTTTTTCTGATTAGCTCTGAGTCCACAGTTCACTGCTTTCCTTGTGCCATTCTCACTTGAGAACAAAACCACAAAAGAGAACAAAAACAGACCTGGGTACATAAAGAGTGCTCAGTAAATATTTGTTGAGTGAATGAATGTACAAATGAATGTAGGAAAGCCCAGAAGGTTAGCTAGCAGTGGAGGAGAGAATCATAGGAACTCCTAATATCTCTCATTGTATAGCTTCCTAGGAAGGTTTGCAGGGCTGTCAGAGACCCCACCAGCTTGGGTTCCTCACAAGCAGTGGTGATGCTGGTGCCTCCTTCTCAGATAGCACTTTGGAAACCTCAAATGAATCTAGATTGTTTTTGTTTAACTGCCCTGTCTGTGAAACTTCAACAGCTCAGGCTTTTGTCCTGGGAAGGGTAAAGGCCTTTGCATGCCATGAGGTTTCATACAAGTGTTCAAAATTGGGTTGTGAGCCAGCTAATCTCCTTTCCTTAGTCCTGCAGCCTTTGGCTGGATCTTGGTCTTCTGTTCTTGAACTGAGCTGAATGGGGTGGTTGGGGGGGACAGCTGCATACTTATCTCCTGGAGACTTGGGGTTCCTTTAACCCAAAACATTTTGTGCTCTGCCCAAGGCTTGATTTGAATTTCTTCCTCTGAATATCAGCCCTTGTGCCTTACCCCCTACAAAGCCAGGTTAAGCCAAAGAGGGGAAACAGTTTGCATATTTGTTTGAAAGCTTGATGCAGCTGTTCCAGGCAAACAGAGCTACTGCCAAAGGCCTCCACCAGGAGCAAGGGCATGTGGAAAATTTTAGCTGCAATGACTGTGGTTGTGATGGGAGCAGTTTGTTATTTACTCATCTCTGGATATTTTCCTAACCCCATTGGTTGGGCCTGTCTCATTCCCCCACTCCCTCCAGCCCCTGTGAGGGCAGACACGCAGACCACAGAATATTCTTAGCACATGGAATGCCAGTGAGGCCCCATCAAAAACCTCTGTATGCCAGCTCATTATCCTTTCCTCATCCCTCCCCCTCTGTCTTTCCCTCTCCTCACTGAGTCCATTCTTATCAGCTCCCTATATGTCTCCAGGGGTGAAGGGTGAGACATTCTTCAGAATGCTTAATCCTTTCTGAAATAAGGAAGAAGCCAAAAGAAACTGGGGAATTCCTGATTAAGAGAATGTGGTCTATATTCAGCTTTGGCAGAAAGGGGCTATACAAATCTCATGAATAAGGTCTGGAAGGGAGCGAAGAAGAGAGGGAAATGTCTGATGGATTCTTGTTGCGTCCAAATAGACTGCCTGTCTCACTTATTTTTTCCAAATGAGATACATAGTCCCAGTACTATTTTTGTGATCTTGACAAGAGTATTTGACTCATAAAATAATTAATAATAAAGATTTAACTCATAAAAGATTCTTAGAAAATGGTTTTTCAGGAAGCTAGGTACAAAAAGCAGGTAAGACAATAGCCTCAAAGGTCATGTTGTCCAAAACCTTTTCCTTTTTCAAGTAGCTCTTGTTAGGGTGCCTCAAAAGCCTCCCTTGGTAGCCTGTTGCAATATTTTGCTGTCTTTATTGTTCTTTAATAATATTTTTCTCTATGTAAAATAAGGATCTCTCATTGTCATCTAACTTTTCCCTCTTCCAAGTCTTGGTGTAAGCCCTGCCCTCCCTAGAAATAGCAGACAACAGTTCCTAGAACTTACCTGCATACCATGTTGGTGTCACTGCTGGAGTTAGGAAGAGCAGCAGAGAGAGAGCTCCTTTGTGACTTAGTTGGCCAGCCATCCTTGACATGGAGGGTTAGGGAGATAATTAGCGGTATGTGGCCAGAAGTTTCAGGGTAAAGGAAAGTGACTTTCAGAAGTCAGCCATCTACAAACTTCCAAAAGTGAAAAGAAAAAGAAACATGGAATCTGTGAGGAAGAAGAAAGATTTTTAAATTAATGACTGCCTGTTATATCATCCCCCCTCATAAAAAGTTTTCCATCTTATAGGATAACAAGACCATTGTTTATGGTCTCTTTTCCTCCCAGGAGGAGGAGGACATTAAACAATCAATCTTCAACTGAGTCTGGTGGGATCAGATGCAAATGTTGCATGGTCCAAGTTATAGGGAGGGGACATTGAAGTACCAAGACCAGGAAAAGGCTAACAAAGTCTCATAGAACCAGGAGGGAATCTGGCACTCTAAAGGCTGCCAGGTAATGATTTTGCCCATTTCCTAACCACTAATCTTGGAAAGCATCAGCATTGATCTGGATATGAATCTAAATCTGGCACCAATTAGCTATGGAGACTTGGACAAATTCTTTAACTTCTCTAAGACTCTGCTTTCTCATCTATAGACTGGGAATGATAGTATCTACCTTATGGAATATATTATTGCCCGCACATAGGGATGCAATCAATATGCATTTATATTAATATTACTGACTTTATACTGGACAGGATAGGATGTTTCCCTTCTCTAGTTCAACTCCCAGGAAGTAACTACTTTGGCTCCATTCCTAGCTTTGGGTTTCAAGGCTTAGTGGTTTGGTAGTGGCTTCTGGCTTTCAAGTCCAGTCTACCCTTCAAGTTTTACCCTGCTGAGCCAGCAGAAAGTCAGAGAGGTTGGGAAGGACCTAGTGAGGTCCATGAGGAGAAGGAGCAGGCTCTAATTGCTCTCTCACTTCCCATCTTATCCCCACTCTAATGGGAATGAGAGCTTTTTGTGGTTCCCAGTGGCCAAGTGTTTCATAAATGGCAGTATTAAAATTTGCTGCCAGTTGGTATAAACTGGTCACTGGACCTTTCAGCAAGCACCCATTCACCTGCATACTTTCAGTGAAATCCCATGCTCACAGGAGAAGTCAGTCCTAGAAATGAAGAAATAAAAAGATGGTAGATTCTGGTCAGAATCCCTGAAGGGATATGGGAAGTCTAAGAAAGGCAAAAATTCATTTTCCAATTCACACTACTTGGTCTCAGAATTTATCTAGAAAGTGGTTATTAAACAGGATGGAGAAAAAAATGAACGTAATCTAGGGAGGTCAGGAAAGTGGAAAGATATAGAAAGGATGCTAGAAAGAAAAGAATATCAGTCAGACCTGAAAGAGATGGATTAAAGCAGAAAGAAGCAACAAAAAGAGAAAAAAGAGATTAAAATAAGAGCCAGGAAAATTAGCAGTTGGATAATTAATCAGTGACCCGACCCTTCTCCCACATCCAACCTCAATCCAGTTCTTTTGTTCTGGAGCAAGGGTTTTCCTTTTTCAGACCCCATACTCTGAGTCTGTGACCTCTTACCTGCCCACCTCCTTCCCAATTTCAAAGTGAAAACTTGACTCACCGGAGTCAGCCATCTCTCTGCTGTGGGCTGAGAAGGTAGTGGGAACATGTGACTGCAGCCGGGTCATGGCACAAATGAAAACAGCATATGTTCCAATTTCTTAAAAGAACATCTTCCCCCCCTTCCACCTCCAGCCATGTTGTCCAAGTCCTGAGTCTCTTTACCCCTCCACAGCTGTGAAGTAGGACAGTGTAGCCTGAGGGGTTAATTGCAGATCTTACCTGTTTTATGTTTCTTGTGCTCTCTTGCTCTCTCTTCTTTCTTCTTCCTCTCTGCTGCTCTCATCAGTCGGAAAAAACCCTTCTACATTAACATTCCTAGAACGAGTGGCTCCTTGTCTGTCCGGGCCTCCGGGATTCTGTTAACACTGCCCAGATGTTAGGGCGTTTGCATCTGCCAAAAGTTGCCTTAAAGCTATATTATCCCCAAAGCTATATCTGTTCCTCCCTGAGAGAAGGGTTTTAGAGAGATGGGGGAGAAAAGAGAAACAGGATTGGAGGAACTCAGTTTGTCTGCTGCAGAACAGGGGAAGTGTGAATGGCACTGGCCTCAAGCCTGTGAGTATAGTGATGACTAAGAGAGGCTGGAGAAAGGGCTTCCAGAGATGTGTCTCGTTGAAGAACACTACATTTTATGACTCAGCATGACATCAGGATTGAATGAAAAGTAATTTCACAAACTCCAAGGAGAAGGGAAGAATGTATGTGACTTTGACATCCACTGGAGACTTCTCTTGAACTCCAAGTTGCCATACCATATAGTTGTCTTTCCATCCATATGGCACAGTGTCAGACACATTTTCAAACCCACCCATCAATGACCTAACTTTTCTGGACTTCAGTTTCTGATAAGATTGTGTTGTTTACACACACAAAAAATACTATGCACGTGTGTGGGGTGGGGGGAGAGAGAGAGAGGAGAGAGAGAGAGAGAGAGAGAGAGAGAGAGAGAGAAGATAATTCTACCAAGGTTGTTTTCTTTCTAAAATAACCCCCTCACTGGCTCCCCCCTCAGCACACAGTATAGTCTGAACTCCTTAGCATGGCATGCCATACCCATCACATGCACACTCCACCTGCGTCCTCAGCTTGATTTTGAATATTCATCTTGTGACTCCCCATTCTGCACACACTGAACTTTTTTTTTAAATTAAATCATTTTACTTTTGTGTGCTTTTTCTTTCCCTCTCCAGTTTATTTATTTATTTATTTTTATTTTATTCTTATGTACATACTGTTGGGGTACTTTAACTTGCAGCCCACCTAGCCTAAAAATCAGTTATAACTGGCATGACCCTTGGGTAACCTCATGAAGAGGAAGATAGCCTTGAAACAGGGTTGTAAAACATGGTAAACTGTCAATTAAAAGCTGTAAC